TGATGCATACTTGGTTTGCTTCATGTATTCAGCAAGGCTCTAGATGCTTTTTTTACTCAGTGGCGGGTAGATAATTGTGCACAGTTTCTAGGGTTGCTTTCTGATAAAATAAGTACATAAACACTTTCTCTGTCAGATGTTTCAGTCTCTACAGTCTCTATTCTTTGCATATTTATATTCAGGTATTTTGAAGTGTCTACATTATCACTGCAAAACCCTCAATACAAGGTTTGAGAAGGAAGCAGAGTCTCACAGAGGTTCACATCAGCTTCACAAGGATAAATGCAAGCACCAGAACCAAGACAATAAGCAGAAAATTGAGTAGCAGATTGAGACCTCTGTTGTTAGCAAGATCCATAATGCACGTGAGTCTGCCCTTCTGTGCTTGCAGCAGACTCTTGATTGTAGCTTTGAGTTGCTCCTTCCCTAGTAAGAAATGTAGATTCACATGAATTTCATTGTATCCTTAGCTGTTTACCTGTTTTTAGTTTCTACTGCTTAAGAAAAAATAAGTTTGTGAACAATAAGGTTTTTTTCCCAAACAAAAGAATATGGATAGTCCTATAAGCCTTTTTCCAAATACCCTAAAAATAAGAAAATAAAGTTAATGATAGCTTTTGTTTCAGTACTGAAGAACTTCTGAAGAACTGATAAATGGAGAAAGTTTAATTTTACACAGATCGACTCTTTATTTACTTTTTTAAATGTGTGATACTTTCCAATCCCCTTTGATTTTCAAAAGTGTCACTTCTCAAGACTTGAACAATTTCAGCAACAGACTGTTGAAAGTTTACTTTTAGAAGATCTCCTGTACATACAAAAAGAACAACCAAAACCCTTAACTTTTCCATCAGGGCAAAATGCACTTCTGTTAATAGAAGCATTTCTTACCCTTCTAGGGTTTGGTATTGTGCAGTAGGTGTTTGGCAGTGGAGTGCAGTGTAGGATTCATTGCAGCTTTGCAAGTGCCTTATGAAGAATCTACATCGGACTGGCAGAGGTTGCATCCTTAGTGCTTTTAATAGCACATATACAGGAGCTTATCTTAAAATAATGTTAATAACTTAGCAATTGTGTTTTATATATAGAAATATATGTGTGTGCCAATGAAAGAAATAAATAGAAGCACTCAGCTCAAACAATAAATTTTGCCAAAACTTCCCTTGAATAGTGGTCTTTTAGGGAAGATCACAAGAGGGCACTGTTTCACTGTTTTCTGTTTATGAAAAATGGTACCTTTTGCATTTATATATTAAACTATAATGGGATTATAACTAAACTGTCAGGTGTTACAGTAAATGTAAGATATTACGATAAATGTTTTAAATTATTTAAATTACTGGGGTTCTTACTGATATGTGCATCAGTTTTTACAGGAATCCTGTTCTGTGTTTAACCCTTACAATGAGCAAGAGATGTTCACTCATCTACTTCCACAACCACAACAGATTGCTTTTATCCTTATTTTTAACACTTAGGTCAAAGCTAAAAGGACTACATTTGCTGTTAAATAAAAGATACATATGGATCTTGTAGGACTTCACAAATATTTTCTAATTCTGTTCTGACACACTATTAACAGTTATATAAGTATCTGGTCTGTAACTGTAGTATATTAGTAGGCTTCCAAATACAAAGAAGAATATGCACTAAATTAATTGTTCATCACTCTGTACTTGCCATTTTGACACAGAGGATCTAGGTAAGGGGCATCTGGACGAGTGTGTGTATCTGACATGATTATTTTTCTGTCTCTATTTGCAGTAAAACTCATGCGAAAGTTCTTAGGCTGAGAGGACAAACATATTATGCATGTTTGGTGAAAGATTTTCTTCAAGCCTATTTTACACTTACCTTCGTACTGAGTGGTTAGGTTCTGCTAGTAAGGGCAGTTGTTAGAAGTGCAAGTACTTGCTGCCCTCTAAAGTGCCTTTTTGACTAATCATGATCAGAACAAAATTTCTGATTCTCACATGGGTCATGTCTTCATCTAGAGAAATACAGGTAGACTTTTCTATATTTGCTGAAGAGCTGGCTGAAAAGATGAATTTTTAAAATTGGCGTGTTATTGTTCCTGATTCAGCTCTTTCCTAGTGTAAAATAGCCATGGAAGTTTGTCATATTTTTGGGGGTAGAGTAATGCCAGATAGCTGCTTGTTTAACTACCTGTATGTAAGATGAAATTAGCTAAAAAGATGTAGTCTTGAGTGGAGTGGAACAGAGAAATGAAAACTTAATCCAAGCTACATGCTGTGTCTGGAATTTTTATTATAGCTCATAAAAGTAGGGAACTTTTTGATTACACTTTCATAGAATTCATTAGGATCATTTATGTGTGGTAGTTGGTGAGCATAAGTTAGGTATGTGTGTTATGGACACAGCAAAATAGGCAACACTACTCTTCTAACCCAAACCACAACCAACAGGTATAAAGAATTAGAAAGCTGGGGGATGGTTAGGTCTTTTTCACATAACTTTTAAGTAAATGATAAAATGGATGCTTCTTTCTGAAGAGAGTTGTATTTAAGTATTTTATTTTATGCATTAATATATTTTCAAGCAGTAATTTTAATAAATAAAAATACGGTAAATGTTAGTTTAAAAGGCCATATAAGCGTACAAAGAACAATGTACTAAGTACAAAAGTTTTTTTTTAAATCTGAGTTCAGTTGTCATTTAGTGCTACAGAAGATGGTAGCAGTTTTTCTGATCAGCAGAACCCTAAGACAGAGATGAACCGTGCAGTACATGCAATTTCTTTGCATTACTGTAAAATAACAGTAGGGCTTCTAATTTATTTAAACTTGTTTTGTTCACATTTTATTTATTGCTTTTAAATAAATAATGACGTTTTAGGTACATAAACAGAAAATGGTGGGTTTGTTTTTATGAAGAGGGGTGGAGGTTTTATTTTTAGTAATGCTTTTACTTTTGACACTGTATTACTGGCTTGTGAAACTCAGAATGCATGTGTTGATTTTTTACTCTTAAGACCTTTCTTCAGTGAGTTTTCTATACTATAAAACTGTTACCAATTTGCAGTTGAGATTCTTTAAACACCTCAAAAGCAAATTAAATCTGGAAACCTTATACAACACAAATACAGATCTTTTAAGAAGAGAAGGAAGGGATTTCAGATTTTTCTATTTTTGCCCCATGGAAGAAGGGCACTGTTTGTAGCTTTTCTTAAGAAGAAGAATTAATGGGAAAAATGCACTTAAAATAAATTGTGAGAGTGGTCAGAATGCATAAAATGGAAATTGAGATTTACATTGGTGGTTTGAATCACTAACAGTCATATGCTAACAATATTTAGGGGGGAATTTGTGGTGCTGATTTTATCAGTTCTTGCCCTAATCATCATACAGTAGTTATCTAATTTTGTTTAGTGATTAAGCTTATTTCAGAGTTTGGGTCTCAACTTATCTATTTGCCAGATAAGAATTAAGTGCATCCCACTGGATTTGCTTGCATTCCATTGAGTACGTGTTTTTTTTTCGATGATTTCTCTTCCTCCTGTTTGTTATCAAACTCTTCTCATGGAATATTAAGTTTTCAAGGCAAAATGCAAGTTTAAAATAAAACTGTTTCGATTTTATGTATTAGTCAATAGAATTGCTTACACAGGGTAGTATAGAAGAATACAGTTTCTCATGGAATATTAAGTTTTCAAGGCAAAATGCAAGTTTAAAATAAAACTGTTTCGATTTTATGTATTAGTCAATAGAATTGCTTACACAGGGTAGTATAGAAGAATACAGTTTTAAAAACAGATGTCTGTTTGACCTCTCTCTATTGATTCTTGAGCTCTCTTTAAATTTAAAAACTGTATAAACTTTCTAGGAATTTAGATTGATACCTGCAACATGTGGGAGACACGTTTCAATCCTTCTGCTCAGTCTTGTTTCTAGCGACTGCTGGGGTAGAAGCTATGTCTTTTATGTGTATAGATTGTGGCTTACATGTTGAAAAGTTGTTTCTGCAGCGTGTTCCGTCCTGTGCATAATGTATGTATTACTTATTTTAGGAAAGTACTTGCTTCATCTCTAAGGCATTTGCGGTTGAGGGTGGATGTTACTTCCACTCATATGTTACACTTCAGTCATAGGAGTAAGAGTGACCTAAACCTCTTTATCACATCAGATATAAGCCACATTGTGTGACATTGGCAAAAAAAGAGGTTTCTGTAGTTTTAAACTAAGGAGATGATTGCATAAATTATAGCAGGCCATAACAAAATTATCTGGAGCCAAATGTTAAGAACTCTGAGAATTATTTCTTTTGTTCCAATTGTGATGTCAGTTAAATGACTATAGAAAATTAAGTCTTTAATAACAGTGTGGTAGTGTCAGTTTTTCTGCAAAATATAGTGAAAAAGCTTTTCAGATGTGACTTAATTCTCTAAGGGTATACCTAGTGAAAAATACTCTACATTGTTGCCTCTTTCTTTTTTCTGGATCCAAGTTATGTGTGTATATACACACATGCATATATATACACACACACGTTTTAATGCATATATTTAAGATCCCTTAAATAGGGAGAAAAGTGTATGAAATATTTTTATTTCTGGGTTATAAGACAATTTTTCTTCATTCTCATACTCCCTTAAAAACAAAGCAATTTTAATGCTTTGATAATGCAGAGATGTGGCACCTTGAATTAAGCAGAACAGAAGTTTTCCTAGGATGTGCTGAAGGCTGTGTACCTGAAGCTTTTCATCAAGTGGACATAGGTCAAATTTAGAACCTCTCCAAGGGCTTAAGGATTTTCAGAGAAATTTGAAAACACTCAGATGCCCGAAAAGTGAAGTTGGTGATGTGTGTGATCTAGCTAAAACATTGAAGAACTTGCCAACTCCATGAAGAGGCAGTACTTGACGACATTCAGAAACATCTCTTGACTGAGACAAACAAATTAGGTCATGCACATGTTTGTAACAACAGGCTCTAAACATTGTTCTGCATAGAAGTGTGTTTTTAATGCATGTAGCAGGTAGAAAGAGAAGAGCGCAATAGTTGGCATACAGCTCTAGTCCAAGTGCTAGCCCCTCCCACAAGAGGATCCATGCAGTGAGAGTTGCAGGTGAAGGTCTGTCTTCCCTTTGAGGTGACTTTCCTAGAGGACAGTGCAGAGAAGTGCTGAGCTTCAGAGGAGCATCACAATGATACAGATCAGCAAGAGGCAAATTAAAATCAGGCAGAAATTCACAAAGAGCTCTTGGAGCCTTTGGCGTGCTTGTGGGTTGACCTCAATAGTTGAGGCTCTCCTCATAGCAGAGCGGGTCATTTGCTGGACCTTCTCCATGGCAACCAGAAAGCAGAGCGCACAAATCAGAGGTTTTAGAAGTGTAGGAAAGAAGAAAAGTTGTCAGGAACAGTGCAAAGTGGCTGTTATCTTCTCCTTTTGTTTTAGGCAGCCTTTGTGGAGCTGGGAAGGCAGGAAGGTAAACAGTTAGAAAGGCAGAAGTAGTGTTTTGATGAGAGCAAATGGAGATTGTTTTGAAGTTCTAAAAAACCTGAAGTAAACAAGTTGCCTTTACAGTGCTTTTACTTTAAAACAGGTTTTGTGCTGTATTATGCATCTCTTCCTGAAGACGACTGAGCACCTGCTTCTTAGCAGGGGGGAGGAACTGTAAAATGGAAATTTTGGGCATGTGGGATTTACTCAGATCATTGCTTTAGATGCTAATCTCTCCATCCTTCACAGTCGGTGTGAAGGCCACAGATTATTTCTCTCCCACCTGTCTCTCCCTGCTTTATGTCTTCAAGCACACATGAAAGCTGATGATACCGCTAGAGTTGCAGACCTTTCAGTCAGGAGATTTGGGTAGTAGTGCTGTCTTGGTGACTTGAACTACTAGTACTTCATTTTGGAAGGGAGGAAAAGAAATTTCATTGAAGTGTTTTCCTTCCAAGTAAAAATGCTTCACAATGCGTAATTAAAAGCTATGCATCACTGCTATAGGGAGTAGTCAACAGACAAAACAGAATAAGGATTAAAACAATTTTTTGTAATCATATGGGAACGTGCTAAAAATTGTAGGTGTAAAAGCAGGAGGACTGCTATGAGGTAAAAAATAAAGCATGTATATAAATTTGCCTCCTAAGTGGGTATTTTACTTCAAGTATATTTTCCCCCTTTTTAGTGGCAGGTGGAAGCACTGTGTCAATTATATTAACACTTCTAATAAGTAGTTGTGATGTAACACCTTCCTGTACTAACCTTCTGTGGAGAGAGGCTGGCTTTGTTATATTCTTGCTTAGCTTATATCAAAGTGGATTCTGTAGATGCTATTGCAATGTGAAAAATTGGTTTTCAAGATAATGATGATGATACTTACACTCTTAAACTTTGCTCCTAAAGCTGCACTTGCCACTACAGGTTTTATGAATGTATATCTTTGACAGAAGACTTCTCCTTTTTTTTTTTTTTTCCCCAGTAAGTGAAATTCCTATCTAGGCATGTATGCCACGTGAAGGAAAATTCATGAAACAGAAAACCTTAGCATGAAAGAGAAGTGTCTTTCAGACTTGTCTGTCTTAGACAATCCATGGGGGGCTGTAGGCTCAAAAGGTGCTTTATGAGCAGAATATATATGCTCTTCGTGCCAGTTGCAATGCTGGTATTTAAAAAGAGACTTAAAATAAACCAGATTATACATAGATATTTTAATACCTTTAGAGGATTCCACGTGGTGACATCTCCTCTGAAAACTGCACTTCAGACTTTGTTATGATGTTTTGAGCTATACTTGATCTTAACTTTATTGTGAACAAAACCCACACCAGGAACTGACTTTCATAGTGGGTATAATTTTTCAGCTTTGTTTGACTTTACATTGTACCTGTTTTCATCTATTTAAGCAGTTGAAGTACTTGCCAAGTATATTCTGCTTAGCTCTTTGTTGGTCACTGTCTGCCCCAAGTGCGGTAAAACAAGGCACACACTGGAATTTAAGTGACTTGGCTGACAGCGCATTTGTTCTAGCCCAGTACAGGCTGGGGTGCGTTAGGCCATTTATCCTCTTCTGGACAAGGCATGGTAGGTAAACCACTAATGGATTTGTGCTAGTACAGAAAAGTTTGTGTAGCTAGCTCGGGATGGACACTACACAGAGTACAGTGTTTCCTGAGAATTACTTCATCACAACTTGCGATGTCATTTATGTGATTATTTTTTTTTTAATGCACGGTGTGTACAACTGGTGGGCTGTGGGCTGAGTGTGACCTGCTGAAAAAACTTATTGGTGGTCTTCCTGACTGCCTTCAGAAGGCTTGGAACAACGTGAGTTTTTCCTTGTGTATATGCGCAAGTCCATTTCTGTGTACAGGATTAGATTTACTGCACATAGGAAACAGCTGCACTGCTGTGTTGTTGTGTGTTTTACTTGCATGAATCGAGGCAGGACCTGGGACCTGGAGTGGCCTGGGGCCAATTAGCTGGTTGGGCATTATAGATGCAAGGCCAATATAAGTGAGGAGAGAGGGCAAGATGTCTTGGAAGAGAAAAAAAAATATTATTACGTCAGGAGTGGTTCAGGGTCTTTATATAGTAGATAGGTATGAAAAACAAGTCTTAGTCAAGACCTGGGACCTGGAGTGGCCTGGGGCCAATTAGCTGGTTGGGCATTATAGATGCAAGGCCAATATAAGTGAGGAGAGAGGGCAAGATGTCTTGGAAGAGAAAAAAAAAGATTATTTCCTTCAGAATGGGTGAGGGATGTTTCTGAAGTAGCAGGCAATAAGTCAGAAGTCTTAGTCAAGCTGTCACACTGGCATGAGCTTTTTGAACATACATGATAAGAAAGGATCTTAAAAAAGGGAAGGTAGTGTAAGTTTAAAATTTATATACCTATTGTGACCAGAAAACAGTGTAGAGAAAGGATGAAGAAAGGTCAAAATAGAGTAACTTGTTTTTCTTGATTTGAAAGCTCATATAGAACTGGAAATGTTTAAAACAGCTACATGTTATTTTACCTGCTCAGTCTGTGGCAGTTTTTTATAACCAAAGGAAGCAAATTGTGTGACTGTATTTCAACAAGTTTGTCTTTACAAGTGCATGGCTTCAGCTAATAAACACGTACCTTGCTTGTTAATCCTCCATGGTGTTGTCACCCACCTAAAGGGTGCGTAAAGAGAAACAGATTCAGTAACACAGCTGCATATGGGTGGCTATCAAGGTCAAAATGGACAGCCTGAAAAATAATTACATTGAAATGAAGGCTGATCATTGCCACAAATAGTAGCTGTTCTCCACTGGTTAGCCTCTTGACTGTGTTTTATGTTACTATTAAGAAATATGCGTTCACTCACCACTTCTTGAAAGGAAAGTGCCGCAAAAAGGTAAGATATAGTTGACCTTGTAAAAAAAGTCAAACAGTGTTGCACCCATATGTGTCAAAACCAAAGCTGCACAAGATAAACTGTTGGCTGCATTACTGTACAGTTGTGCATTTAATCTGGTATTGCTAATGGATGTGAAAGGCTTGTCTTACGCACAGCACCAATCTGCAAGCAGCAGTCATGTGGCTGACCCTCTGTACTACTATGTAGGGGATCCCCTACACCTGGTCCCCAGGATGAGTCACTGATCATGGTTACTGCTTTCTCCTTCATGACATGTGACTGTTTCCCTGATTTGTATTAGGTTATTTTTGTCTTCGTTCCTGGGTGTCCTTCACAATCAGAGGAGGTGTGTGACCAAAGTGAAAACTGTGGGCTGTGCTCGTTTCTCGTGCAACTGCATTGACTCCATTGAAGTCACATGGGATAAATCTGGCTCCTTTGGAAATGCCACAGCAATTTTAGACATAGCCTGTTTCCTGTCATATGTTTACTAAATGCAGCAGTGATATCAGTGGAATGGAAGAGGTTTGACATACTTGATTTGTTGCTGTCCCATACAACCAAGTGAAGACCTGAAAAGGCATTGTTAAAAAGTAATATTATATAACAGTCTACTTTAATAGATTTTTAGTATTAGATGTTCCCCAGTAATTCTGTTTCATCCACTGAAAAGAAGTATCTTAACCATAAACATAGTGATGCAAAAAGTACCATCAAGTTATGTGATCCTTGGTCTCTAGTACATGTTTAAAGCCATTATAAAAAATGACTTGGCCTAAGAAATTCCTGCAGTGGTTTGTGTGAATAGTATGATACTCCTAGACAGCAGAAGGCATTCTCTGCATGTTCAGAGGAGATAAGTTTCAAGGTTGATGTGTATAGTGCCAGAGCAAAGAACAGCCCTATATGCAGGACTAAAATGCTGTGAGTGAAATTGAACCAGGAGCCCTTTGTCACCATTGTCTGTGGATTGTGTGGCCCCCAGAGGAGAAGACATTGCAGAGCTTTAAAGCCCTGCCTGTGCATGGCAGCTGCAGTTGATGTGTATTGGCATGCTTGTCATCTTTGCTAACTGTCCTGTGTTAATATATATATATATATATATCTTATTGCAAGTTACATTGCTTTGTTTTGAACCCTGCTGTAAAACACCTCATTAGCAGTGTGGAGTCACTGCAGTTGAGACCTCCAAATCTGAAAATCCTCCTTTATCATACGAGGAAGATGAGGGGTGAGAAGGGAATGAAGAAGAAAGCAGTCTGAATAAACTCTAGAGACCTCTGGAGGGTTTTACTACTGTCAATTTAGTTCAGTAAATGAAAGTTGCCAGTGATAGAGCAGAAGTTGCTTACAGATACTCAAGTACAGAAGTAGTTTATAAGGGTATGTAATAATTTTTTATTGTTGTTCTTTTTAGGAAAAAAGTAGTGTGGAGGTGACTTGCTAGGCTTTACCCCAGCAGCTGGATTTTATATTTATTTATTCTAAGGGTGCAGAATTCTGTTGCTTATTCTGATTTTAGGCTGGGAGTTGCACTAGGTAGTTTTTCCAGTGAAGGGTCTTAAGGGTATTAGCCAATTCAACAGCTTGACTGCAGGAAAAAATTATTTATTTATTTAAGAAGAAATCATGAAAGTAGCAAGAAAGGGCTGGAGGTCGAAAACAAAGACTCGGTTGGATGAAGGCAGGAATGGAGACACTAGTGCAGGAGAAGACAGATTGAGGGAGTGAAGCAGAAGAAAATGAGCAGGGTAAGAGATTGGGAGTGTAGAAAAAGAGCAAGGAATTGCATATACAGAAAACATTTCCTTGGTATGGGGAGGAAGCAACAATTCAGCTCAGAGTTTAAGAAGTGCTGGTAACAGGAAAAGCAAACTAATTTTATCCTTTTTACCTTTTGTTTTAAAGTCTGCTTAATACTTAAGTGTCAATATTTTTCATGTGTTTGAGAGAGGATAA